ATGGGGTGGTGCTGGTAGCAGTCTTGCTGCTCTTTCTCTGCTTGGAGCAGAGGTTGGGCAGTGTAGGGACAGGGGTCTGTGATGTGGGGGAGACCACCAGTGTGGGGGGGTGAGGTCACTGCCACCCCAGACTCCATTTTGGGCAGTCTGGAAAACTAAGTATGAAAAGAGCACAGACACAGAGTGATCTAATTTTACTAAGTAGATAATACTGCAATCAATGTGATCAAAAAATAACTTAGGCCATAATGCAATCTTTTGTTCCAGTGAAGCACTTGTAGGCCTATATCGAATTTACTTATTTAATCAGACATAGTATTTTTTTTTTATTATACAATATGGCAAATAATTTATCATGAAACACCTGTTATTTATCAACTCATGTAACTTTCATAAGAAAGGAATAGAAAACCCCATTTATTTAGGATGACATTGTCCCTGAAGTGAACAATAACGTTGCGTAAAATGTGTCCATAATTACAGTGGGGAAAAAAAGTATTTAGTCAGCCACCGATTGTGCAAGTTCTCCCACTTAAAAAGATGAGAGAGGCCTTTAATTTTCATCGTAGGTACACGTCAACTATGACAGACAAAATGAGAAAAAAAAATCCTGAAAATCACATTGTAGGATTTTTAATGAATTTATTTGCAAATTATGGTGGAAAATAAGTATTTGGTCAATAACAAAAGTTTCTCAATACTTTGTTATATACCCTTTGTTGGCAATGACACAGGTCAAACGTTTTCTGTAAGTCTTCACAAGGTTTTCACACACTGTTGCTGGTATTTTGGCCCATTCCTCCATGCAGATCTCCTCTATAGCAGTGATGTTTTGGGGCTGTCACTGGGCAACACGGACTTTCAACTCCCTCCAAAGATTTTCTGTGGGGTTGAGATCTGGAGACTGGCTAGGCCACTCCAGGACCTTGAAATGCTTCTTACGAAGCCACTCCTTCTTTGCCCGGGCGGTGTGTTTGGGATCATTGTCATGCTGAAAGACCCAGCCACGTTTCATCTTCAATGCCCTTGCTGATGGAAGGAGGTTTTCACTCAAAATCTCACGATACATGGCCCCATTAATTCTTTCCTTTACACGGATCAGTCGTCCTGGTCCCTTTGCAGAAAAACAGCCCCAAAGCATGATGTTTCCACCCCCATGCTTCACAGTAGGTATGGTGTTCTTTGGATGCAACTCAGCATTCTTTGTCCTCCAAACACGACGAGTTGAGTTTTTACCAAAAAGTTATATTTTGGTTTCATCTGACCATATGACATTCTCCCAATCCTCTTCTGGATCATCCAAATGCACTCTAGCAAACTTCAGACGGGCCTGGACATGTACTGGCTTAAGCAGGGGGACATGTCTGGCACTGCAGGATTTGAGTCCCTGGCGGCGTAGTGTGTTACTGATGGTAGGCTTTGTTACTTTGGTCCCAGCTCTCTGCAGGTCATTCACTAGGTCCCCCCGTGTGGTTCTGGGATTTTTGCTCACCGTTCTTGTGATCATTTTGACCCCACAGGGTGAGATCTTGCGTGGAGCCCCAGATCGAGGGAGATTATCAGTGGTCTTGTATGTCTTCCATTTCCAAATAATTGCTCCCACAGTTGATTTCTTCAAACCAAGCTGCTTACCTATTGCAGATTCAGTCTTCCCAGCCTGGTGCAGGTCTACAATTTTGTTTCTGGTGTCCTTTGACAGCTCTTTGGTCTTGGCCATAGTGGAGTTTGGAGTGTGACTGTTTGAGGTTGTGGACAGGTGTCTTTTATACTGATAACAATTTCAAACAGGTGCCATTAATACAGGTAACGAGTGGAGGACAGAGGAGCCTCTTAAAGAAGAATTACATGTCTGAGAGAGCCAGAAATCTTGCTTGTTTGTAGGTGACCAAATACTTATTTCCCACCATAATTTGCAAATAAATTCATTAAAATCCTACAATGTGATTTTCTTTTTTTTTCTTTTCTCAATTTGTCTGTCATAGTTGACGTGTCCCTATGATGAAAATTACAGGCCTCTCATCTTTTTAAGTGGGAGAACTTGCACAATTGGTGGCTGACTAAGTACTTTTTTTCCCCACTGTATGTATACCAGACGCATCGCAATCTACTGTTCCATGCGTGTTTGGCCATGATTGGTTACAGCTGACTGGATACCTATGTTGTTTCACTACCTATGATCATGCCGCTGTATGGCGGGTTTCAGTTTCTATTCACAAGCCTCTCGACCGTCGCCATTCCTCCTTACATCCGTGTCTCCGCATTGCGCCTGTAATGAGCCTTATGTTTGGGTCGTTGGTCACAGGGCCAAGATGAGAACCATGGGAGCTACACTGAACAAAATGTCTCCTTTGCCAAGATAATCCACACACCTGACAGTTTTGGCATATCAAAAAGCTGATTAAACAGCATGATCACTACACAGGTGCACCTTGTGCTCGGGACAATAAAAGGCCACACTGAAATGTGCAGTTTTGTCACACAACACAATGCCACAGATGTATCAAGTTTTGAGGGAGCGTGCAATTGGCATGCTGACTGCAGGAATGTACACCAGATCTGTTGCCAGATAATTCAATGATAATGTCTCTACCATAAGCCAACTCCAACATCGTTTTAGAGAATTTGGCAGTACGTCCAACTGCCGTCACAACCGCAGACCACGTGTATGGCGTCGTGTGGGCAAGCGGTTTGCTGATGTCAACGTTGTGAACAGATTGCCCCATGGTGGCGGTGGGGTTATGGTATGGGCAGGCATTAGCTACGGACAACGAACATAATTTCATATAGTTTCAATGGAAATTTGAATGCACAGAGATAACGTGACGAGATCCTGAGGCCCATTGTCGTGTCATTCATCCGCCACCATCACCTCATGTTTCAGCATGATAATGCACAACCCAATGTCACAAGGATCTGTACACAATTCCTGGAACCTGAAAATGGCCCAGTTCTACCACGGCCTGCATACTCACCAGACATGTCACCCATTGAGCATGTTTGGGATGCTCTGGATCGACGCGTACGACAGCGTGTTCCAGTTCCCACCAATATTAAGCAACTTCGCACAGCCATTAAAGAGGAGAGGGACAACATTCCACAGGCCACAATCAACAGCCTGATCAACTCTATGCGAAGGAGATGTGTCACACTGCATGAGGCAAATGGTGATCACACCAGATACTGACTGGTTTTGTGATCAACGCCCCTACCTCTTTTTTAAGGCATCTGTGACCAACAGATGTATTCTCAGTCATTTGAAATCCATTTATTATGGCCTAATAAATGTATTTCAATTGACAGATTTTCTTAGATAACTCAGTAAAATCTTTGAAATTCTTGCACGTTGTGTTTATATTTTTGTTCAGTATATTTTGTTAATAAATTCATGCTCAACAGCTTGTGTCAAACGTTTCTGTACTGTAGGCAGGCCTGCTCTTGTATTGACTCAATGACTCTTCAAATATTCCAGTTTCTGCTACTAACAAAATGTTACCTGATATCAAAATCACTGGATCTGAATATTACAAGTATGAAAGCTCATTGTAAACCTAAAAGCATTTCATTGCAAGACTTAACCACTCTCACATCAAGCCTGTAAAATACAGTAACAAGAACAGTGACGAGATGAACAGTTCCCACAAGCAGTGTTTATACGCATCAGCATTTTAATGGGAAAAAGCAAGAACACGTTGTAGCATCAACATAACCCCCACAAAACACCCCCTCAAAACATAAGGTCTGAAAATATCAGACCTTATGAGCTGTTTATGATAAATCGGTTGGTTAAAATGAAATTAACTCAAAATAAGGCAACAAAAGGGTTCTCATCCGACTGTATTATTAAAACTGCTCCATAGGGGGAACCAGTTCAAAAATCTGATACGTTCAAGTTTTTTTGTAACATTTGATAACTATTTACTACTTTGTCATAAAAATAAAAATAAACTGCAAAAAGTTCAATATTTAGGTTTTATACACAGAATAACTTTAAGTCTACATTACTTTTCAGTCTAGATCATTTTTCACTGCATAGCAACGCCCCTGGAAGAATCAAATGTTGCGCTGTCCCCTACATTTCCATGGACCAGCATTAAACAGTGATGCTAATATGCCCATGTCTAGTGTTAACGATCCCTTACCCCAGCCCGCCCGTCAAAAAAGCAAGCAAGCAAGCTTCCATAATTAACATTATTTTTTTCCCTCTTTATACAGCGTCAGAACAGTTTAACAGAATGTTTGGTTATTTACATACAAAACAGTATACGTACGTATGTAAGCCCTTCTAAAATAAAACGTTTCAAAAGGAAAAAAAGTGGAATGCAAAACAATTCAAAATACCTAGAATTTTTGTAACATCAAATTGTGTGAAAAGGTAACCAAGAGTATTAGTATTGTGCAATATGTCTGCCTTTTAAAGAAACAGTGGCAGTAATCCCTGCAATTGGTTTTTAGTTGAGATTGAAAACAGCATGAAAAAAAAAATTACAACAGTTGACATCCATTTGATTCATTTTTTTATATATATATAAACATAACACAAAAAAAGGTTCTTACATTTCACATGATTCCATGGTGTCATTGCTATAAACATTTAGTTAAAATGACAGTCCCGAAACAAAACAAAACAGGCAAAGCTTGTTAACGATATCAGCAGTTGAAATCATTCTAAACAAACCAACGAGAAAAAGCAAATCCAAAAGAAGTTGCTGTTTTTTTAATCATGTTTTATTTATTTAAATTTATTTATTTTTAATTAAAAATGGCATAGTCCTTTCTGATTCTTGAGTCAGTCAATCTGACACGGGGCCAAAGACCTTTGTAGGGTGTGTGTGGGTGTGTGTGTCTGTGTGTGTTTGTGTGCATGGGTATATATACACAAATGTATCTTATATCCCAGGACTGGGCAACGCTCCACCTCCGATGGATAACACACAAGCTTTCCCTCCTCCACGCCACCTTTAAACTTACATGTAAAAACCAGGTTGGGGGACTGGACAGGAAGAGGTGGAATCACACATCCCCGCCATAGAGTTCTTAATCATGTTGTAAAATACGGGGCACATGTCCACCCCCTGTGGTGGTGGAGGGTAGGAGACCGACGCTGGGCTACCGGGCCAGCGCTGATCAGTGGGTGTGGTAGCCAGCGGTGCCCATGCCCGACTGGTTGGCCAGCACCGTCCCGTTGACTCCCTGTCCAGGCTCCACCACACCGCCATTACTCACCGCTCCCACACCCGTCCACCCTGCACCCGCCTGTAAATGACTACACACACACACACACAGACAAGAGGTTAGAGGACAGGTGAAGAATGGGGAGAGAAAGAAGACGTAAATCCGAAATGGTTAGAGGGCAGGAGTGTAAAGATAAGGAAGGAGAGGGATGGAGAGAAAGAGACATTAACAAGAAGAAGACTGATCTTTAAGGGCTGCATTTCATTCCAACACTGTTCTCTTCAGTAGTTCATGAGCGCTCACTTGAAGCCCTGCTGGTTCCAGGCCTGTCCGTAGACTCCGTAGGTGGGCACCTGCCACCCGCTGGGCACGTATTGGCCAATCTGCTGGGCGTTACCGTACCACTGGGCATACTGGCTGTAGGGCTGCGCTGCAAAGCTCATTTTGTTCTGCTGCGGAGACAACACTTAGGGATCAAACAGTGTCATGGATCAACTATGTTTTTCTGTTTCCCTTAGAAATTGTCCATTAACACAGGAAAGTGGGCATGCTATCTCAAGCCCTCGAAAACTGAGCGCATATATACAGTATCTCACAAAAGTGAGTACACACCTCACATTTTTGTAAATATTTGAGTATATCTTTTCATGTGACAACACTGAAGAAATGACACTTTGCTACAATGCAGAGTAGTGAATGTACAGCTTGTATAACAGTGTACATTTGCTGTCCCCTCAAAATAACTCAACACACAGCCATTCATGTCTAAACCGCTGGCAACAAAAGTGAGTACACCCCTAAGTGAAAATGTCCAAATTGGGCCCAATTAGTCATTTTCCCTCCTTGGTGTCATGTGACTTGTTAGTGTTACAAGGTCTCAGGTGTGAATGGGGAGCAGGTGTGTTAAATTTGGTGTCATCGCTCTCACACTCCCTCATACTGGTCACTGGAAGTTCAACATGGCACCTCATGGCAAAGAACTCTGAGGATCTGAAAAAAAAAAAAAAAATGTTGCTCTACATAAAGATGGCCTGGGCTATAAGAAGATTGCCAAGACCCTGAAACTGAGCTGCAGCACGGTGGCCAAGACCATACAGCGGTTTAACAGGACAGGTTCCACTCAGAACAGGCCTCGCCATGGTCGACCAAAGAAGTTGAGTGAACGTGCTCAGCGTCATTCCAGAAGTTGTCTTTGGGAAATAGACGTATGAGTGCTGCCAGCATTGCTGCAGAGGTTGAAGGGGTGGGGGGTCAGCCTGTCAGTGCTCAGACCATACGCCGCACACTGCATCAAATTGGTCTGCATGGCTGTCGTCCCAGAAGGAAGCCTCTTCTAAATATGATGCACAAGAAAGCCCGCAAACAGTTTGCTGAAGACAAGCAGACTAAGGACATGGATTACTGGAACCATGTACTGTGGTCTGATGAGACCAAGATAAACTTATTTGGTTCAGATGGAGTCAAGTGTGTGTGGCGGCAACCAGGTGAGGAGTACAAAGACAAGTGTGTCTTGCCTACAGTCAAACATGGTGGTGGGAGTGTCATGGTCTGGGGCTGCATGAGTGCTGCCGGCACTGGGGAGCTACAGTTCATTGAGGGAACCATGAATGCCAACATGTACTGTGACATACTGAAGCAGAGCATGATCCCCTCCCTTCGGAGACTGGGCCGCAGGGCAGTATTCCAACATGATAACGACCCCAAACACACCTCCAAGACGACCACTGCCTTTCTAAAGAAGCTGAGGGTAAAGGTGATGGACTGGCCAAGCATGTCTCCAGACCTAAACCCTATTGAGCATCTGTGGGGCATCCTCAAACGGTAGGTGGAGGAGTGCACGGTCTCTAACATCCACCAGCTCTGTGATGTCGTCATGGAGGAGTGGAAGAGGACTCCAGTGGCAACCTGTGAAGCTCTGGTGAACTCCATGCCCAAGAGGGTTAAGGCAGTGCTGGAAAATGATGGTGGCCACACAAAATATTGACACTTTGGGCCCAATTTGGACATTTTCACTTAGGGGTGTACTCACTTTTGTTGCCAGCGATTTAGACATTAATGGCTGTGTGTTGTGTTATTTTGAGGGGACAGCAAATTTACACAGTTATACAAGCTTTACATTGTAGCAAAGTGTCATTTCTTCGGTGTTGTCACATGAAAAGATCTACTCAAATATTTACAAAAATGTGAGGGGTGTACTCACATTTGTGAGATACTGATTATATACACTGCTCAAAAAAATAAAGGGAACACAAACAACACAATGTAACTCCAAGTCAATCACACTTCTGTGAAATCAAACTGTCCACTTAGGAAGCAACACTGATTGACAATACATTTCACATGCTGTTGTGCAAATGGAATAGACAACAGGTGGAAATTATAGGCAATTAGCAAGACACCCCCAATAAAGGACTGGTTTTGCAGGTGGTGACCACAGACCACTTCTCAGTTCCTATGCTTCCTGGCTGATGTTTTGGTCACTTTTGAATGCTGGCGGTGCTTTCACTCTAGTGGTAGCATGAGACGAAGTCTACAACCCACACAAGTGGCTCAGGTAGTGCAGCTCATCCAGGATGGCACATCAATGCGAGCTGTGGCAAGAAGGTTTGCTGTGTCTGTCAGCATAGTGTTCAGAGCATGGAGGCGCTACCAGGAGACAGGCCAGTACATCAGGAGACGTGGAGGAGGCCGTAGGAGGGCAACAACCCAGCAGCAGGACTGCTACCTCCGCCTTTGTGCAAGGAGGAGCAGGGGGAGCACTGCCAGAGCCCTGCAAAATGACCTCCAGCAGGCCACAAATGTGCATGTGTCTGCTCAAACGGTCAGAAACAGACTCCATGAGGGTGGTATGAGGGCCCGACGTCCACAGGTGGGGGTTGTGCTTACAGCCCAACACCGTGCAGTACGTTTGGCATTTGCCAGAGAACACCAAGATTGGCAAATTCCCCACTGGCGCCCTGTGCTCTTCACAGATGAAAGCAGGTTCACACTGAGCACGTGACAGACGAGTCTGGAGACGCCGTGGAGAACGTTCTGCTGCCTGCAACATCCTCCAGCATGACCGGTTTGGCGGTGGGTCAGTCATGGTGTGAGGTGGCATTTCTTTGGGGGGCCGCACAGCCCTCCATGTGCTCGCCAGAGGTAGCCTGACTGCCATTAGGTACCGAGATGAGATCCTCAGACCCCTTGTGAGACCATATGCTGGTGCGGTTGGCCCTGGGTTCCTCCTAATGCAAGACAATGCTAGACCTCATGTGGCTGGAGTGTCAGCAGTTCCTGCAAGAGGAAGGCATTGATGCTATGGACTGGCCCGCCCATTCCCCAGACCTGAATCCAATTGAGCACATCTGGGACATCATGTCTCGCTCCATCCACCAACGCCACGTTGCACCACAGACTGTCCAGGAGTTGGCGGATGCTTTAGTCCAGGTCTGGGAGGAGATCCCTCAGGAGACCATCCGCCACCTCATCAGGAGCATGCCCAGGCGTTGTAGGGAGGTCATACAGGCACGTGGAGGCCACACACACTACTGAGCCTCATTTTGACTCGTTTTAAGGACATTACATCAAAGTTGGATCAGCCTGTAGTGTGGTTTTCCACTTTAATTTTGAGGGTGACTCCAAATCCAGACCTCCATGGGTTGATACATTTGATTTCCAATGATAATTTGTGTGATTTTGTTGTCAGCACATTCAACTATGTAAAGAAAAACGTATTTAATAAGATTATTTCATTCATTCAGATCTAGGATGTGATATTTTAGTGTTCCCTTTATTTTTTTGAGCAGTTATATATATATATATATATTTATTTATTTATTTATTTATTTATTTATTTATTACACACACACACAGTACCAGTCAAAACTTTGGATACAGCTACTCATTCAAAGGTTCTTTATTTTTTACATTGTAGAACAATAGTGAATACATCAAAACTATGAAATAACATATTGAATCATTTAGTAACCAAGAAAGTGTTAATCAAATCCAAATATATTTGAGATTCTTCAAATAGCCACCCTTTGCCTTGATGACCGCTTTGCACACTCTTGGCATTCTCTCAACCAGCTTCACCTGGAATGCTCTTTTCACCTGAACGGGCTTGAAGGAGTTCCCACATATGCTGAGCACTTGTTGGCTGCTTTCCTTCAAGGCCAGTTTTATTGCTTCTTTAAATCAGCACAACAGCTTTCAGCTGTGCTAACATAATTGCAAAAGTGTTTTCTAATGATCAATTAGCCTTTTAAAATGATAAACTTGGATTAGCAAACACAACGTGCCATTGGAACACAGGACTGATGGTTGCTGACAATGTGCCTCTGTACGCCTATGTAGATATTCCATTAAAAATCAGCAGTTTCCAGCTACAATAGCCATTTACAACATTAACAATGTCTACACTGTATTTCTGATCAATTTGATGTTATTTTAATGGACAACAAAATAGCTTTTCTTTCGAAAACAAAATAACATTTCTAAGTGACCCCAAACTTTTGAACAGTACTGTATGTATGTGTGTATATAACATACATATTGTATAATACCATACAATATACAGATATGTAATAACAGACAGTAATGATGTTGTATGAGAAAGGGAGATGTTACCTGCGGTGTTACCTGAGGCACCTGTACCTGCTGCATGGGGCTGACCATGTCTGTGGTCTCCTTCCCCCAGTAACACTTCACCACGTGCCCCTCCATGGACGTCCCATTCACTGACACAATGGCGTGGGCCGCTCCCTCGTGGGAGTTGAACCTAGACCAGGTAGAGGTGTGAGAGGGGGACAAGGGTGAGAATGAGTCTTCCTATGGCAATGACTCGGTGCAGTCCAACTGCAATGTGGGTCGATCTCAAACACACTCTCTCAGTCTGTGGTCTTACCTCACAAACGAGTAGCCTTTGTCTGGGAAAACTCTGATCTCCATGATCTGACCGAAGGGGGTGAAGGTCTGCCTCATCAGTTGCTCTAAGGTGGGGGAATAGAGGAAGGGGTAGTTATATACCTGTGAGTCCTATATTAACACAATCACTGTTAACACAACAGTTATAAAGGGGGTAGTTATATAGAGAGGGAGGATAGTTATCTAGAGAGAGGGTAGTAGTTCTATAGAGAGACGTAGTTATATAGAGGGGGGGTACTTATATAGAGAGGCGTAGTTGTATAGAGAGGGGTAGTTATATAGAGAGAGGGGTAGTTGTATAGAGGGGAGGGGTTGTTATTTAGAGAGGGGTAGTTATATGGAGAGGGATAGTTATATAGAGAGAGAGGGGGTAGTTATATATAGAGGGGGGTTGTTCAGGGTTTCCGTTAGCTAACAAAACTCAAAGCTGATCAATAGAACAGACAGCGGTTTTTGCACAAGGGAAAGGTATGTTATGACGTTTACACTGGAAATATGGGATCACCAGATCATGATATTTTGCTCTTTCACACCGAGGCTTGGTGATTATCGAGGGGGAGATTGTTGGAAAGAGTTTTCAAATAGGCCTACTGTGAAGAACTATTAAACTATCATTCGCAATGGATGTAAAAAAAAAAACGTTGTTTACTTACCGTGTGAGGTGAAGAAAAAATGACTGAGAAACTCAGCTTATTAGTGGTGGACATGGTGACTAAAACAAATCAGAACGCAAACATTCCCAAATCCTACATTTGCACGCAGCAGGCCAGGTAGGCTACTTCTATGCGTAATGAAAAACCAGACCCATGCTCATTGTTCACATGGTGCACTCCAAACAACTTGGAACATTGCTGCGGGGACTTGCTTCCATTCAGCCACAAGAGCATTAGTGAGGTCGGGCACTGATGTTGGGCGATTAGGCCTGGCTCGCAGTCTGCGTTCCAATTCATCCCAAAGGTGTTCGATGGGGTTGAGGTCAGGGCTCTGTGCAGGCCAGTCAAGATCTTCCACATCGATCTCGACAAACCATTTCTGTATGGACCTCGCTTTGTGCACGGGGGCATTGTCATGCTGAAACAGGAAAGGGCCTTCCCCAAACTGTTGCCACAAAGTTGGAAGCATAGAATCGTCTAGAATGTAATTGTATGCTGTAGCGTTAAGATTTCCCTTCACTGGAACTAAGGGGCCTAGCCCGAACCATGAAAAACAACTCCAGACCATTATTCCTCCTCCACCAAACTTTACAGTTGGCACTATGCATTGGGGCTAGGGCTGTTGCGGTGACCGTATCACCGCCACACCGGCGGTCACGAGTAATGAAGGCAGTCAAATTCCAAGTTCTCCAAGCTCTGATGCTGCTCATTATTAGCCTACCAAACTTGCTAACTGCCTGGTACTCAGCACCCTATTGTCCCTATAATCACTCTGACATCAATGCAAATGTTTTCGAAAATCACGGGGAAAAGAGTCTTCCATTCCCTATTTAAGTGCATAGATGACATGTATTTTTTCCCGCTGCCCCTGTTTCAATACCGGTGCATGATAATGGTCCACTCTAAGTCAGAACGAATGCCACACATATATTATTTTGTATATGTAAAGACAACATTAAATCAAGAACAGTCTGATGGGTGACAATTTTAGCCTATCACTTGTGAATTATATATTATCACTTGTGAATGATGCCCAGCATTAGAAACAATGCCTTTTTTAGCTACTTGTTCGAATCATAGTTGCACACCTCATGTAGCCTAGCCCATAGGCCTATGTTTTAATAAGGTTTGTATCACAACTTAAGTGGCCAAATACCTTCTTAAAAACTAAGCACATTAACCCCCTTTACAAGGGGTATAGAGCCTAACTAGCATATATAAGCAGCGTGTGAGTTTCAAGTTTGAAGATCATTTTCACCGTAAAAATGCACCTTTATAATAAAAGCATAACATGCATAATTTAATTGGCGGTCACTTTGGATAATGCTATTTTCCGCTAATGGAACATTCACGCTTATAGCCTACTACCATGTGCGCATTGCTGCGCTTATAATGTGAAGAAATAGCCTAATAGTTGATCAACATTTTAAGCTAAACGTTCTGATCTGTTGCATCAGCCTCATTACATAAAAAATGTTTTTGGATGCTAGTGGTTGTATTAATTTGGGATCTATCGCATCCCACAACTGTTTGGAATATTTATTTCTCGCACAGAATAGGTCGACTTTTGTACTATGGGGGATAGTAGATTGACATAGGGTAGTGCTTTTGCTGTTCGTTAGGCCTACTCATCTTGTTGGCTGATGAAAAGTAAATGTGGACAGTTCTTCCAATATCTTCAATATGCACCTCAGAATTGGATAAGGACACACGCAGTTGCGTCCCCGATGTGTCCGTCTTCACTTGTAGCCTGTGAGAAAGACCTGATCACGTTACGGAGAGCCGTGTGAGTGAGAGACGCTTCGGATTGCGCAGCAAACTCAGGGACAAGGGCATAACGCAGCACTCCAGGCTGCAAAAGGCAAAGATTTTTTAAAATAATAATAAAAATAATATGCCATTTAGCAGACGCTTTTATCCAAAGCGACTTACAGTCATGCGTGCATACATTTTAGGGTGCATTACGGCCACAAAGGGGATGCAGCCATGAAATTCGAGGCATTATCAAGTGCTTGTCAAAATGTGAATGAGAGACTATTGGCGTGTGTACAGCCCGCGCAAAAAAAGCTAAATGCCTTTTAAGAAACTTTTTTCAAATCATTATTAGTCTCATTGTGCAGCCTTACAATGTTTTAAAAATCAAAACTTATAGCCCAACCTTTGTAGAACAACTAAAGTTACATTAATAACTCTAAATTAAGCATATAGGCATACCTATTTCTTTGTTAACTGCTCAAGACAGAATAGCCGCATGTGCAGACTCCCTCAAATCATTTGGAGAAAATATCCTTTCTATTTTATTCAGCTTTGTTCAATTGTATTCTTCATACTATAAAATAATGCCACGGAATTATAAGCAAATCCTGTCTGCTAAATTAACTAGTGTAGCCCACAGCCATATGGCATAGCCAGATCAGGACAACTCAGAATATGCTATTCATTTCTTCTGAAATAGACTACATCTTCTTAATGTCATGCTTCTTTAGACCTGTCTTAAATAAATAATGGATTTATTGCGAAGATGTAGGCTATATTACATGGATTTATTAGACTTTTTAAAATGTGTGTGGAAGCCAGGAGATGCTAAATGTGTTTGTTAATTAAACGGTCAATTACCGTGAGACTGACAGTTATTTGCTTGACAATCACCGGCTCACAAAATTTCGTGACCGACACAGCCCTAATTTAGGCAGGTAGCGTTCTCCTGGTATCCGCCAAACCCAGATTCGTCCGTCGGACTGCCAGATGGTGAAGCGTGATTCATCACTCCAGAGAACGCGTTTCCACTGCTCTAGAGTCCATCACTCCAGCCGACGCTTGGCATTGCGCATGGGGATCTTAGGCTTGTGTGCGGCTGCTCGGCCATGGAAACCCATTTCATGAAGCTCCCAACAAACAGTTATTGTGCTGACATTGCTTCCAGAGACAGTTTGGAACTCGGTATTGAGTGTTACAACCGAGGACAGATGATTTTTACGCGCTACAGCACTCGGCGGTCCCGTTCAGTGAGCTTGTGTGGCCTACCACTTCGCGGCTGAGCAGTTGTTGCTCCTAGTCGTTTCCACTTCACAATAACAGCGCTTACAGTTGACCGGGGCAGCTCTAGCAGGGCTGGAATTTGACGAACTGACTTGTTGGAAAGGTGGCATCCTATGACGGTGCCACGTTGAAAGTCACTGAGCTTTTCCGTATGGGCCATTCTACTGCCAATGTTTGTCTATGGAGATTGCATGGCTGTGTGCTCGATTTTATACACCTGTCAGCAAACAGGTGTGGCTGAAATAGCCGAATCCACTAATTTGAAGGGGTGTCCACATACTTTTGGTCATGTAGTGAATGTAATGGGGGAATTTATCAAAATAAACAAACACAGGGCAAACAATTCACATGAAACAATAAATCCGCAAGAATTGGCGGGAAAACTGAGTGGAGTCTGGAGAGCAGAGCGCATGCATACTGGAGAGAGACGCCTATAGGCTATATTCGCCACAAACCCCTCCCCTTCTCCTTGTCTCAACATTTTCAATTATACTCAAGACACGTTACCGTCACACATATTTTAGATGCTTTTAACTGACAGCCGCAACTCAATAATCAGCTAGGCCTTTTGCCACGCTCGCTGCCTATGAAAGACTTCCTCATACGCCATTTTTCTCCAGTTCTATTGGTTGTCATATCAACTTTCTTTCATTGTCCAGAAGCCAAATGCACAATCCTAGTCATATTAGCAACCCATCCTAGTTGTTGCATTTTTAGATTCACCCTCTTTCTAAGTTTCTAACTGAGATTTTCATCTCGGTCATATACCGCTTGCATCAGGTGCGCTGTTTAGAATGGTATTTTTCCCTTTTTCCCATGAATTGCATTTTGGCATTTGGTCACATTGTCCATTTTCCTAACGGAAACCCTGGGGTAGTTATAAAGAGAGGGGGTAGTTATATAGAGAGAGGGTGGTAGTTATATAGAGAGAGGGTGGTCGTTATATAGAGAGAGGGTGGTAGTTATATAGAGAGAGGGTGGTCGTTATATAGAGAGAGGGTGGTCGTTATATAGAGAGAGGGTGGTCGTTATATAGAGAGAGGGTGGTAGTTATATAGAGAGAGGGTGGTCGTTATATAGAGAGAGGGTGGTCGTTATATAGAGAGAGGGTGGTAGTTATATAGAGAGAGGGTGGTAGTTATATAGAGAGAGGGTGGTCGTTATATACCTGTAAGCCCTGCAGAGACTCCTCCACAGTAGACTGTACAGTTGCTGGGGCTGGACTGGTTCACAACCTCCTCAAACGACAGGTGCTTTGTGTTCGCTGCTCCACAGGGGGGAGGAACAGAAAGTTGATTTAAAACATGAATGAGAAAATAGGTTGCGGCAATCTTTTTTGTATCTAATGCCAGCAGGTGTGTGCGAGTCATTCTTTGGAGCAGTGTGTGTATGTGTACTCACTCTCGTAGGTGGCTTTGGGTGCAGGGGGCTTCCTGGTAGCCCAGTTGGTCCTGATCTGCCTTCCTCCCAACCACTGACCTCCCATCTGTTGGATGGCATTCTCTGCATCCTACACACACACAGTCAGTCAGTTCCAATATCCACACACTTTATTAATCACGGTATAACCTAGAATTTAAACCTTATCTACACCAAAGTAGTTAATGAACTACAGGGTGGAATTTGCTTGTCTAAACATTGCGCTGTGTTGTCTGAGGGGGGAGACAAAGGAATGGACACTCACCCATTTGTTGAAGAAGGACACAAAGCCATAGCCTTTAGATTTGCCAGTAGCCATGTCTTTCACCACCCGGGCATCTCTGTGAACAGACAAAGACTACTGTTAGCAAGACAATAGCAAGTTGTAGCCTCCGGCCACTGAATCCATCCTATGGAGCAGTGTTTCTAGGGGGCGTATCCTGTCCAAGGAGGTTTCGGCTCACGTTGCTGTAAAGCACTTGATAAGTAGGATTCTAAGAATTTCTGTTGTGAATATTTGCTTATTGACAGACATACCCAAAAAAGATCTGTAGAGAACATATGACAGATTTTTATTTATTTATTTTATTTAACCTTTATTTAACCAGGTAAGCCTGTTGAGAACAAGTTCTCATTTACAACTGCGACCTGGCCAAGATAAAGCAAAGCAGTGCGATAAAAAACAGAGTTACATTTGGGGTAAAACAAAACAAAGTCAAAAAAATACAACAGAAAATATATATACAGTGTGTGCAAATGTAGCAAGTTATGGAGGTAAGGTAATAAATAGGCCATAGTGCAAAATAATTACAATTAGTATTAACACTGGAATGATAGATGTGCAAGAGATGATGTGCAAATAGAGATACTGGGGTGCAAATGAGCAAAATAAATAACAATATGGGGATGAGGTAGTTGGGTGGGCTAATTTCAGATGGGCTGTGTACAGGTGCAGTGATCGGTAAGGTGCTCTGACAACTGATGCTTAAAGTTAATGAGGGAGATAAGAGTCTCCAGCTTCAGAGATTCTTGCAGTTCGTTCCAGTCATTGGCAGCAGAGAACTGGAAGGAATGGCGGCCAAAGGAGGTGTTGGCTTTGGGGATGACCAGTGAGATATACCTGCTGGAGCGCATACTACGGGTGGGTGTTGCTATGGTGACCAATGAGCTAAGATAAGGCGGGGATTTGCATAGCAGTGATTTATAGATGACCTGGAGCCAGTGGGTTTGGCGGCGAATATGTAGTGAGGACCAGCCAACAAGCGCGTACAGGTCACAGTGGTGGGTAGTATATGGGGCTTTGGTGACAAAACGGATGGCACTGTGATAGACTACATCCAATTTGCTGAGTAGTGTTGGAGGCTATTTTGTAAATGACATCGCCGAAGTCAAGGATGAATGCTGTGAGTACAGCTTATTCTCTTCTGTTCAATCAATACATTCACAATTGAAGGAACATATCTTTGTAGTGTTTTGAATAAGCATAACAGAGATAATAACTGGGGTCAGGAGAAACAGAGAGAACACTCACGATATCCGCCCAAAGGGTGCAAAAGCAGCTTTGATGTCATCCGTGGTGATTTCAGGACTGAGGTCTCCAACGAAAACGTGGAAGTGATCTGAACACAGACAGAATCATATATATATAATACGTTTTTTATAGTCAACTCATTTAGACACCAATGCTAACAATTCTTGGAATATTCTTGATAACAGAAATGTGCTCTGAATGCACCATACACAGTCTAGGCACTACTCCTTTAACACAGTTAGGTACGGTGCATGCCAAAATATTAAGGGAGATAGTACTCACTGCTTGTGTCTTTCTTCTGGCTGCTAGGGGTTGTGGCCCAGTTCACTTTGACCTCCTGAAGAAGAGAGAGATAGAGAGAAAGAGAGAGAGATAGATAGAGAGAGAGGGATGGAAATAGGGGTGAAAAGCGAGCCTTACTTGGACACCACACGAGTCTGTCTGTTTGCCGATTAGAGGGCTTGTTGTAGTCACACAATAATAGAGGGAAAGCCTGCTCACACTCAGACTATGTCACAATTCAGTCTCACCGTCTAATCAATCAAATTTGGAACAAAACGTCTAAAAGTAAAAAAGGTCCAAATAACAAGGGACTTACAAACAAGTGAATTTTACGAACTTGTATTACTCCTCAAATGGTCCTTCATTACCTGTTGAGGATAAAATATTTTCAACTGAATGTGTCTTTAGAGATATAGTATAGTTATTATTTGGATTCTTTATGCAAAGGGTTTTTTACAAAATAACACATTGTACACAAGAACAATAATAATCATAATAATAAGGGTGGTAGGGTAGAAGTAGAGGAGTGTTATTTGAAACAGGTCAATGGGGGACACTACTTTGAAAGATTACACAACCCAACCAGGTTTAAAGTCATGGGACATGCTGCCAATTCTAATTGGCTATGACAAGTCTTCTCTTCTGAGCATGAACCTGTTTACATGGGTGATGTCCAGAGGCTTTGTCTACCAATAGGATTAAGAGAGAACTCCGACCACAGAACGTCTGGACAGCGGATGAGAAGAACCTATTAACTACACCCAATTTGGGATGGCAGGGTCAGGTAAATGGCACAGAATCCTAAATCGCTAGCTACATTTTGTAGTTAAATAACCTGAAACATTTTTTGGGTATCCATAACATCTTATCAACAGGTGTTTCATACAGTGTTTGAATTCAAGTGCAATCCCTCCTCCACGCTCGTTCATTCAGCATTTCCCCTCAGGCCAAAGGAACAAGACATTTTACTTCCATTGAGACATCTGCAGGCTTCAAACCCAAACAAATGGCACCATCTAATTCAGTCAAATGACAGTGTCAAACGTCCCCATTAATTAGAGATTGGGGCCTGCAGTGTGTTCCTAATGTATATAGAACGCCATCTACGGAATATGTAGTCTTATCTAACACTCAACCACTTTTGAGGAATGGAGACAGCTAGATTATGGGGTGAAGACCTTAGTAGCCTATCGTTGGAAGGCATGCTGCCACCCATTCAAATATAGCCTAAGCACGTACAAAACTTTCTTCTGGTGTTGTGGTATTATTGATCAATGAGGAAACCCTTTCCATTCATGTCATACTTACTGATGTTTAATGTGAACTGTTGAGGTTGAACTGACAACATGATGCAGTGTGATACCCATGATGCAATGTGATACCCAGTCAATGAGCCTCTGTCCCAAATCAACCCCAAGCCCCTTCCCCTAGAAACTTCTAATAGGTCTGCCATATTGCTTGCACCCATGCGACCTTTCCAGACCTACATCAAGTCAAGTGTCTAGGGATAACGGCTAGGGGTTGATTTGAACTTGGCTTCAATTCCTTCCTCCTGTCTTTTGGCCAAACCTCCCCAAGCCGACTCACCCTGTAGATACGATAGCTTACCTTACCCATTATTTTACGACCGTTCATGGCTGCGAGTGACGCGGCAGCGTGCCTGTGTTCGTAGAACTCCACAAAGCAGTAGGGGTCATTACCTGCCGTCTGGAGGGGGACAGGGACAAGAACAGGGACTTTAACATCAGAACTGGGCATTTCATCCTACCATTGTAAAATGTAGGCCTAGTTGAGTCTCCCTCCTTACAATGTAAACCATGGTAAGCTAGCCTATATAAACTAAAATCCATCATCATCATTATTAAGAGATTGGCCAAACAACAAGTCTTTCTTCTATTTAGCGTGACAGACTCAGAATCTCAATATTAATCAATCCCAGAGGTAAGACTCACAACAGTACAATGTGTTCTTAAACAGGCTCCTGGCTAATATTGGTCAAAGCTGTTGTCGTATTGGGCTACTCAGTCCTGGGGCTCACTCTGTGGGGTACCAGATAAAGCAGTATTGTGTAGGACAGACGTCCCTCTCTGTCATGTTCAACAGGGAATTGTGTGGGCATGTTTGCTTTTCTATAGGCTCTATACATTACATTCTGCAATATTCTATGTGTTGCAGACCACTGAATAGGCCCACAGTCATGGTCAACGTTCAGATGGCACAAAACAATAGTTTTTTTTTTTTTTTTAAAGCAGAGGTAATCCCCTCAACGAGTCACATCATAATGCCTTTTTTCTTTACGTTTCTCTGGTTTGTTCTAACTGAAAACGGCGCAGTGTTAAGTAACTCTGAGTAGAATCAAATGGGAATCTGATTGGAGAAGGTTCATTCCTAGACAATAGGAAGGTTGATTTTGACTCACATCTACTATCATTTTACAGCTCTTGCAGGGTCCGATCTGGCCGAACAGCTGCATGATGAGGGCTTCGGTCACATCCCGGGACAGGTTCCCCACATACCTGCAGCACAGTGCCAACACATCAGCATGGACACCCTGGGCTCAGCTCAGCAAATACAAGACAAACAGATGCTCCACATAGCTGACAATAAATAGACATGGAAATGTGGTTAAGAACACCTGGATTTAAAGGGATAGTTTACCACCATCCACAATGTTACTGAGGTATGAAACCGTCTGGAATTGTTTGTTATTTTGGGCTGAACTGTTTAACCCACAGTATTCTACCTCACAGCTAACAATTAGGAAGAAGTTGAATTGACTGATTCAGTTTTACATTGAGTAAATCCATTTGAAGTCAATCACTTAAACAGCACCCCTTTTGAGCAAAACCTTGCATACATATTTGCTGATTGTAGAAGTGCTCAGAAAGGGACTTTTTGGACCTGAATGCCAAAACATTCAAGAGATAAAGGTGCTCAAAGTTGACCATTTTGCATACCCCACATTTTGCATGTCTTCATCACTGGAAAAGAGAAACGGTTGAGATTGGTATAATTTAAAAGCTTACAAACAGGGTTATCAAACTATTTTATAATTTCTGGAAAACAATGTTTAATAAACATTGTAATTTAACCTCAATTATCTAAAAACATTTGTAGCTTAGACCCAATTTTACAGGTGACGTTTTTGTGATGTGCACGCCATCGGTTGAGACAACATGCTCTTGAATACAGGGTGGGTGTCATGTTTTGGCTGATAATAAATTGAAACGTCAACTTTCAAAAATGGTACCACAAAGACGGTTGGAGGTCCACACATCAGAGAATGTTGACTTGAATCGGAATATCTGTTTTAAATTATACTATTAATCTTCTATAGGAAACCTATTGAAATCATAGAAATATAGATCATAGAATAGACATGACCATTTAAGTTGACATTCGAGGGTGGGTGGACCGGCGGCCATCTTTGTGGTAGTAATTAGAAGTTCATTTCAATAACATTTCAATTGTGTACCAGCTAAATGACAGTGGTCTGAAGGGATAGGTCCATTCTATAAATTATATTTCTATGATTGAAATGACACCCACTGTATTCAAGAGCATGTTGTGTCTCAACTGATGGCGGGCACAACACAAAAACCTCAGATGTGAAATATGGTCTCTCAGCTACACTACAGCACATACAAATATGAATAAAACATTTGTGGAGTTTACAGGGCTTTACAGTGCGACCATTTTACTCACATATGTGCCTAAATATTTTGCTGTGTGACCTGGAATTTTTATTTAGGAGCACCAGTGTGCCTAGAAAAACTACATCTTTGTATGCGCCTACATTTGCCAACTTAGGCGCACACGTGCACCTTGTAAAAAAACATCAGCGTAGAGCCCTGGTTTACGCGTTTTTAGATAATTGACATTAAAGGTGTAAAAATCTATTCTTATACAATACATTCTTTAAAGAAATAAAATAGTTTGACAACTGTTTGTAAGCTTTTAAATGATATCAAACCCACCCGTTTCGTTCCAGTGATGAAGACTTTCTACAAAGTAATCCTTCTTCCCCCACCCCCCATAAAACATTTTTTTAAAGGTGGTTGTCCCACTGGCTATCATAAGTTGAATGCACCAATTTGTAAGTCGCTCTGGATAAGAGCATCTGCTAAATGATGTAAATGTAAGACATGGATGTATGGAAGCCCATTCCCACCACCAAATTTTTTTTTTTTTTTATGACTAGGAGTTATGAGATACTATATCATAATTATGAGTTACTAAGTCATTATGAGATAAGCAAGTCATAATTATGAGATACTATCTCATGATAATGACATACTAAGTAATTCTAGATTACGGACATTGAATAGTCCTGCAGGTCGGCCCCTTTTAAAGTGGCAATCTGGGATTCAAACAAAGCATTTTTCCCGCCACTAAGAATGGGGCAGGAGAAATGTAACCACTCAAATACATAGATGCAAGGACTCTCACATATGGATGCAAGTACTGACCATCCATGACATCAAAATGATAGTTTTAACCATGTTTTGAAGATATACAGTATTTGTTTACAATTACATTGTTTACAAACAATGGAGTAGAACAAGATTATATTTTGGGTTCTGATGGGGTAAGACCGTTGCTCATGAGGCATTTCTAAGTTCAAGAATCAATGGCTATATGAATAATTTTAAAGTCCAAAAATGTATGTACCAATACCAGATTGCCCTTTTTAAAACGGATTCAAAACATGGTTAAAATTATAATTTCGATCTCATGGATTGTCAGTCCTTGCATCCATATGCGAGAGTCCTTGTGTCTATGTATTTGAGAATGGTTACATTTCTCCTGTCCCACTCCTCAGCTGTTCACCAAAAAAGTAGCAGGGAAATTGCTTTGTTATTGTTTGAATCCCAGATTGCCCCTTTAAAAAGGGGTAGCTCTGCAGGATTATTCGATGTCCATGATCCAGACTTACATGTCTCATAATAATGGCTTACATATCTCAAGTATGACTTACTATTAGGGCTGGATGATATGGGCGATTCAACATATACAGTGCATTCGGAAAGTGTTCAGAGCCCTTGACTTTTTCCACATTTTGTTATGTTACAGCCTAATTCTAAAATTGATTAAATAGTTTTCCCCCTCATCAATCTACACACAATACCCCATGATGACAAAGCAAAAAACGGTTTTTAGAATATTGCAAATCTATCAAAATAATAACTGAAATATCACATTTTACATAAGTATTCAGTCCCTTTACTCAGTACTTTGTTGAAGAACCTTTGGCAGCGATTACAGCCTCTAGTCTTCTTGGGTATGACGCTACAAGCTTGGCACACCTGTATTTGGAGAGTTTCTCCCATTCTTCTCTGCAGATCCTCTCAAGCTTTGTCAGGTTGGATGGGGAGCGTCGCAGCACAGCTCTCTCCATAGATATTCGATCGGGTTCAAGTCCAGACTCTGACCAGGCCACTCAAGGACATTCAGAGACTTGTCCCGAAGCCACTCATGCGTTGTCTTGGCTGTGTGCTTAGGGTCGTTGTCCTGTTAGAAGGTGAACCTTTGTCCCAGTCTGAGATCCTGAGCGCTCTGGAGCAGGTTTTCATCAATGATCTCTGTACTTTGCTCCATTCATCTTTCCCTTGTTCCTGACTAGTCTCCCAGTCCCTGCCACTGAAAAACATCCCCACAGCATGATGCTGCCACCACCATGCTTCACCGTAGTGATTTCCTCCAGAAGTGACAAATGGCATTCAGGCCAAAGAGCTCAATCTTGGTTTCATCAGACAAGATAATCTTGTTTCTCATGGTCTGAGAGTCCTTTAGGTGTCTTTTAGCAAACTCCAAGCGGGCTGTCATGTACCTTTTACTGAGGAGTGGCTTCCGACAGGCCACTCTACCATAGATACCATAGATGCCTGATTGGTGGAGTGCTGCAGAGATGGTTGTGCTTCTGGAAGAAAAATGTCCACAGAGGAACTCTGGAGCTCCGTCAGAGTGACCATCGGGTTCTTGGTCACCTCCCTGACCAAGGCCCTTCCCCCCCTGATTGCTGAGTTTGGCCAGGCGGCCAGCTCTAGGAAGAGTCTTGGTGGTTCCAAACTTCTTCCATTTAAGAATGATGGAGGTCACTGTGTTATTGGACACCTTCAATGCTGCAGAAATTTTTTCGTACCCTTCCCCAGATCTGTGCCCCGACCCAATCCTGTCTCGGAGCTCCACAGACAATTCCTTCGACCTATTGGCTTGGTTTTTGCTCTGACATGCACTGTCAACTGTGGGACCTTACATAGACAGGTGTGTGCCTTTCCAAAGCATGTCCAATCAATTGAATTTACCACAGGTGGACTCCAAGTTGTAGAAACATCTCAAGGATGATCAATGGAAACCGGATGCACCTGAGCTCCATTTCGAGTCTCATAGCAAAGGGTCTGAATACTTATGTAAATAAGGTATTGCGTTTTTATTTATTTTTATAAATTAGCAAACATTTCTAAAAACCTGTTTTCGCTTTGCCATTATGGGGTATTGTGTGTAGATTGATGAGGAACATTTTTTCTTTAATCAATTTTAGAATAAGGCTATATTGTAACAAAATGTGGAAAAAGTAAAGGGGTCTAAATACTTTCTGAATGCACTGTAAATCTAGATTTTTAAAAAGTTATCTAAATAACTTCTTTTTGACGCAGATGCTAAGCTACAGGACTGTTTTGCTAGCACAGACTGGAACATGTTCCGGGATTCTTCAGACAGCATTGAGGAGTACACCACATCAGTCACTGGCTTCATCAATAAGTGCATCGATGATGTCGTCCCCACAGTGACCGTACGTACATACCCCAACCAGAAGCCATGGATTACAGGAAACATCCGCACTGAGCTAAAGGGTAGAGCTGCCGCTTTCAAGGAACGGGACTCTTATAAGAAATCCCGCTATGACCTCCGACGAACCATCAAACAGGCAAAGAGTCAATACAGGTCTAAGATTGAATCATACTACACTGGCTCTGACGCTCGTCGGATGTGGCAGGGCTTGAAAACTATTACAGACTACAAAGGGAAGCACAGCCGCGAGCTGCCCAGTGACACAAGCCTACCAGACGAGCTAAACCACTTCTATGCTCACTTCGAGGCAAGCAACACTGAAGCATGCATGAGAGCACCAGCTGTTCCGGATGACTATGTGATCACGCTCTCCGTAGCCGATGTGAGTAAGACTTTTAAGCAGGTCAACATTCACAAGGCCGCAGGGCCAGACGGATTACCAGGACGTGTACTCCGAGCATGTGCTGACCAACTGGCAAGTGTCTTCACTGACATTTTCAACATGTCCCTGACTGAGTCTGTAATACCAACATGTTTCAAGCAGACCACCATAGTCCCCGTGCCCAAGGACTCTAAGATAACCTGCCTAAATGACTACCGACCCGTAGCACTGACGTCTGTAGCCATGAAGTGCTTTGAAAGACTGGTCATGGCTCACATCAACAGCATTATCCCAGAAACCCTAGACCCACTTCAATTTGCATACCGCCCCAACAGATCCACAGATGATGCAATCTCTATCGCACTCCACACTGCCCTTTCCCACCTGGACAAGAGGAACACCTACGTGAGAGGTAACGACACATCTGCCACACTGATCCTCAACACGGGGGCCCCTCTGGGGTGCGTGCTCAGTCCCCTCCTATACTCTCTGTTCACCCATGACTGCATGGCCAGGCACGACTCCAACACCATCATTAAGTTTGCCGACGACACAACAGTGGTAGGCCTGATCACCGACAACGATGAGACAGCCTATAGGGAGGAGGTCAGAGATCTGGCCGTGTGGTGCCAGGACAACAACCTCTCCCTCAACGTGACCAAGACAAAGGAGATGATTGTGGACTACAGGAAAAAAAAAAGAGGACTGAGCACGCCCCCATTCTCATCGACGGGGCTGTAGTGGAACAGGTTGAGAGCTTCAAGTTCCTTGGTGTCCACATCACCAACGAACTATCATGGTCCAAACACACCAAGACAGTCGTGAAGAGGGCACGACAAAGCCTATTCCCCCTCAGGAGACTAAAAAGATTTGGCATGGGTCCTCAGATCCTCAAAAAATTCTACAGCTGCACCATCGAGAGCATCCTGACTGGTTGCATCACCGCCTGGTATGGCAACTGCTTGGCCTCCGACCGCAAGGCACTACAGAGGGTAGTGCGTACGGCCCAGTACATCACTGGGGCAAAGCTTCCTGCCATCCAGGACCTCTATACCAGGCGGTGTCAGAGGAAGGCCCTCAAAATTGTCAAAGACTCCAGCCACCCTAGTCATAGACTGTTCTCTCTGCTACCGCACGGCAAGCGGTACCGGAGTGCCAAGTCTAGGTCCAAAAGACTTCTCAACAGCTTCTACCCCCAAGCCATAAGACTCCTGAACAGCTAATCATGGCTACCCGGACTATTTGCACTGCCCCCCCACCCCATCCTTTTTACGCTGCTGCTACTCTGTTAAGTATTTATGCATAGTCACTTTAACTCTACCCACATGTACATATTACCTCAACTACCTCAACTAGCCGGTGCCCCCGCACATTGACTCTGCAACGGTACCCCCCTGTATATATAGCCTCCCTACTGTCACTTTATTTTACTTCTGCTCTTTTTTTCTCAACACTTTTTTTGTTGTTGTTTTATTCTTACTTTTTTTGTTTAAAATAAATGCACTGTTGGTTAAGGGCTGTAAGTAAGCATTTCACTGTAATGTCTGCACCTGTTGTATTCGGCGCATGTGACCAATAACATTTGATTTGATTTGAAATAAGCTTTGTTGCACAATTTAAAAAAGGTCAATACACTGCATTTCAAACAGCCATGAATAATCTAATGAATTCAGGGCTTGTAAAATTATACCTAAGCTAAATATAAGCCTTCCACAATCATAAGACCGACTAATACTTTAATTATTTTACCAAAATAGTTTAACCTGCATTTTTGGCAATAATCACTGATCTTGCTTTCATAAACAATCTCCCAAGCACAAGCCCACATGCTAGTGAGTAGCTTGCTAAACTTTATATTTCAAATCTAGCCAACTTGGATATATTTGCTTGCTAACAAGGTAGAACAGTTGAACTGTTATGAATACACCCTCCTGTCTGTCTCCAACTGTTTGAACAACATGGTCTGTTCACTTTGTTTAGATATTGAAATAAAGTGGCCTACCTGGATAATAAAATGCATATTTCTCAGAATGAAAACTAGTTTCCAATTCCTTATATAAATGTATTTTTATGCTCATTGCAGAATAGACTGCTAGCACATAAGTCTGTGGCTAAAATGCTGCTGGTGGTACATGGTACCGCAATGCCTAGAGCGAAAGAACTGAGCATAACTTTTCCACAATCATGTTCATTGATACTCTAGTTTTAGTAGGGTCTGCTCTGTTCTACATTTTGGGAGTTGAGACATAAAAAGGGTTTCGTTAGAAAGGTTAAGTTCTCGTCTATTACAGTAAAATAATGTATCTAAGCGTTTCGGTGTCCATATGACCGATTCTGTTGGATCAAACCTCAAATACAAATAGCAAGTTTAAATTGCTTGTTGTCAGAGAGGAAGAAGTTATCTTTCGTTGTTTGTTGTTGTGAGTGACAGGTGGAGGGGCTTGGTGTCTGTGTGTGAGTGGGAAAGTGCACAGAGCACACAGCACAGAAGGAGCGAAGGAGACCAAAAAGACAGAACACTCATAAAAACATGTGTTTCTTGTGATACAGGCATTTGGCACATTCCACTAAAACATTCATTCAAAATATCACCCAGCCCTACTTATTATCTCATAACTCAGTCTGATTAATTGTTTGGGGTGGTGGGAACAGGCTTCCATAGATGTCTCATGGTATGGTATGCAAAGTGTCAACTTTGAGCACCTTTACCTCCTGAATGTTTTGGCACACAGGTCCAAAAATCGACTTTCTGAAAACGTATTCTATGGGCAAACATGTACGTAAAGTGTTGTTTAAATCAATGGGGATGTTTTCAAAAATATATTTACCCATTTGGGATATTGGGAGTTTTAAAATGGATACTAGCCCAAGCGAGGCACGGTATAACCACAGCGGCCACATGAAGAAGCCAACTGAGGTGAAACTGAAACCAAGACAGGGATGCGCCATACAAAGAAGAAAAACAGTGAAGTAAAGTTAGCTGGGCTGCTTGAAAACAGTAAACACCCCACCGTCTTTTACAGCTACTGTAACGTTACATATTATTTGTAACATTGTCACAACTGAGATTATGTTACTGTGAGTTTATGTCTGCTGCTAGAAGAAGCAACACACATTGATACAGTAACATTCACGGTTAGAATTTCCTTGAGCTAGTAGGCGCCTAGGCCCCAGAAACTGAAACTCGGCATCCGACAAGACTAGGCCACGCTTTCACATTCCATTACATTCAATATTTTCCTTAACTAACTAACGTTAGCTAGCTATGTGCATTAGCTATCATACATGGCCAGTGTCGTAGTAACAACACCGACACTGCGACAGACTAACAAACCCAAATTGAATCTCAGATTTGTAGCGGTATGGACGGCAAGTTAGCAAACCAACATAACACTGATGAATGCCGAGCAGTGTCGCTAGTTAGATTGTAGTTAGTTAGCCAACCCGTTAGCAGGTAGGTTATGATTTCACATATATTATAACTAGAGTATGGACACCGGTGTAGAAAAGTATCAGGCTGATGACAACAGCATTGCTCCGCTGCCGACAAGGGTTAGTTAGCAAGCAAGATAGTTAGCAGCATGTTAGTCATTCTCGAATAGCTGATATTACCAAAATATACAAAATAATTCTCAATTAACTCCCATAGGCGAATAAGAACATCGCAATATCAATAAATGCTGAAATCTAAAGGTGGCTTTCGAAATTATTATGCAGTCGCAACAGTGTTCGCAACAAAACAGTGCCTTTGTCTAAAAAATGGACACGTTTGACATGTTACCTAGCTAGCCTGCTAGCCAGTGCGGCTAGTTAGTTGGTAACGTTAGCTAGCTGACATTTTCATCAAATCCCCAGTTGGCTGGCTCACAACTAGAAAACAGGGGGTGGAGAACTGACTGACACGATTATTACGGACCACATATTATGAAAATGCAATTGACACGTACAAGAGCGATACATGCACCGCTACATTATACTTGAAAGAAACGGTCAGTCGGATAGTTAGCTTGCGGCTAATCATACATACAGGGTCTTGGGTTGTTCGTCGTCCATCATATTTTCCGACGGAGTGTGAGATCGAACCCTGAGCGAAAAGTCCACGTGTGTCGTATTCTATGATGACCTTGGATTCTTGCTCCTTTCCCCTATTTTGCTGATGTCAACTGAACAATAGCCCCCCAAAAAATTATGCGCAGTAAATAGCTCCGCCACCCCTGTTAACTTTAATGAACAATGGAAAGGCGACACAAGATGGCCGTGAAAGAAAGCGGATATACGGCTTCGCATGCGCACTGTGGCTTAGATGAAGGCACTGGCAGAATGGGCAAAACATATTTGTGCTTCAGATGGCATGTTGAACATTTGGTGGGTCACATAAAGTGCATCCAAAATGTAGGAGAAATTTGGATAGAATGTACCAAAATACGTGCGCCGCCCGGGAATCGAACCCGGGTCGCAAGAATGGGAATCTTGCATGATACAACTACACCAACGGCGCGTTGCAACGCTTGAGAGAAGCTGCATCTATACATGTGTAAAGTGTCATGCTCTTTTTTCTTAAAACATCAGTCTTTTCTGCGGGCTCTCGGGCGCACCAGCTGCCCCAGCCCGCGGGTGGATGGGTTAGGTCAAATACTGTTCAGATGTCCTTTAGTTCACATGCAGCATTCCATCACAATGTTTTGCATAATCAAATAGGACATCAGTCACTTTTCTTAATCATAATTTATTTAAACATACACTACCGTTCAAAAGTTTGGGGTCACTTAGAAATTCCTTGTTGTCGAAAGAAAAGCATTTTTTTGTCCATTAAAATAACATCAAATTGATCCGAAATACATTGTAGACATTGCTAATGTTGTAAATGGCTATTGTAGCTGGAAACCGCTGATTTTTAATGGAATATCTACATAGGCGTACAGAGAGAGGCACATTATTACATTTACATTTTAGTCATTTAGCAGACGCTCTTATCCAGAGCGACTTACAGTTAGTGAATACATATTAGTTTTTGCAAACGCCATGCTCTATCAACTGAGCTACATCCCTGCCGGCCATTCCCTCCCCTACCCTGGACAACGCTAGGCCAATTGTGCGCTGCCCATGAGTCTCCCGGTCGCGGCCGGCTGCGACAGAGCCTGGATACGAACCAGGATCTCTAGTGGCACAGCTAGCACTGCGATGCAGTGCCTTAGACCACTGCGCCACTCAGGAGGACCTATTATCAGCAACCATCAGTCCTGTGTTCCAATGGCACGTTGTGTTTACTAATCCAAGTTTATCATTTTAAAAGGCTAATTGATCATTAGAAAACCCTTTTGCAATTATGTTAGCACAGCTGAAAACTGTTGTGCTGATTAAAGAAGCAATAAAACTGGCCTTGAGACTAGTTGAGTATCTGGAGCATCAGCAATTGTGGGTTCGATTACAGGCTCAAAATGGCCAGAAACAAAGAACTTTCTTCTGAAACTCGTCAGTCTATTCTAGTTCTGAGAAATGAAGGCTATTCCATGCGAGAAATTGCCAAGAAACTGAAGATCTCGTACAACGCTGTGTACTACTCCCTTCACAGAACAGCGCAAACTGGCTCTAACCAGAATAGAAAGAGGAGTGGGAGGCCCCGATGCACAACTGAGCAAGAGGACAAATACATTAGTGTCTAGTTTGAGTAACAGACGCCTCACAGGTCCTCAACTGGCAGCTTAATTAAATAGTACCCGCAAAACACCAGTCTCAACGTCAACAGTGAAGAGGCGACTCCGGGATGCTGATCTTCTAGGCAGAGTTGCAAAGAAAAAGCCATATCTCAGACTGGCCAATAAAAGATTAAGATGGGCAAAAGAACACAGACACTGGACAGAGGAAGATTGGAAAAAAGTGTTATGGACAGACGAGTCGAAGTTTGAGGTGTTCGGATCACAAAGAAGAACATTTGTGAGACGCAGACCAAATGAAAAGATGCTGGAGGAGTGCTTGATGCCATCTGTCAAGCATGGTGGAGGCAATATGATGGTCTGGGGGTGCTTTTGGCGGTGGTAAAGTGGGAGATTTGTACAGAGTAAAAGGGATCTTGAAGATGGAAGGCTATCACTCCATTTTGCAATGCCATGCCATACCCTGTGGACGGCGCTTGATTGGAGCCAATTTCCTCCTACAACAGGACAATGACCCAAAGCACAGCTCCAAACTATGCAATAACTATTTAGGGAAGAAGCAGTCAGCTGGTATTCTGTCTTTAATGGAGTGGCCAGCACAGTCACCGGATCTCAACCCTATTGAGCTGTTGTGGGAGCAGCTTGACCATATGGTACGTAAGAAGTGCCCATCAAGCCAATCCAACTTGTGGATTGGCTATATATATGCGAGAAAAAAAAAACATATGGGGGATTGGAAGTGATGCAGACAATTACATTGATGGAATTACAATCTATCTGCAATATTAAAGCTGATCTACCCCCTAAAAAATAAAATAATAATAATAATAATAATAATCAGACCACGGCCAAATACATATACTTGAAAGACCTTGATTTAGCTTGTAGTTTGCACTTTTGGGACTATTACATTGGTTCCATTGTACTTAATCAATACACCCCCAGTGTAAAGTACCCTGGTTACATTGTACTAAATACATTGTGCCTTATTGGACTATAGCAGTTCCACCTGTTTGGGCTGGGGGAGCAGGATGTTTCTGAGGAAAATGTATTTTGCCTGGCTCCAGGTGCCGTCGATAATGATGATGATGATGATGTTTCCCACTGCCCTGCCTCCATCCTGTACCCTGCCCTGAACTTAGTCGCTGTCACTAGCCAGCTACCATCCGGTTACTCAACCCTGCATCTTAGAGGCTGCTGCCATATGTACATAGACATGGAATCACTGGTCACTTTAATAAAGGAACACTGGTCACATAATGTTTACATACTGTTTTACTCATTTCATATGTATAAACTGTATTCTATTCAATGCCACTCTGACATTGCTCGTCCTAATATTTATATATTTCTTAATTCCATTCTTTTACTTTTAGATATGTGTGTATTGTTGTGAATTGTTAGATACTACTGCACTGTTTCAGCTAGGAACATAAGCATTTTGCTACACCCGCAATAACATCTTCTAAATATGTGTATGCAAACCAATAACATTTGATTTGAAATCAGTGTGCAGATAAAGGAAATGAGACAAGGATACAGTACTGTCACAGAGTTTTCAAACCCTCCTTTGTACTGTACTATTTGAGAAGTAGCCTACCCCTGGTCTCGCAAGGGAATCCTTCCAAATCTCATCTTGTTAGAAGCAGCAGAATAGCAAAGACAGACAGTACAGTTTGAAAACTCTGAGTGTGAGAATAGTTTGTGGTGAGAATGAATATCCTCCTGTGGCTAGTTAACCGTAAATATTGAACTGTGATAACAAGCTTGAGTCAAGAAAACACAAACTCCCAGCCTCCCACTGAACTTACCAACATCTAGCCAGCAGATCCGACCTGCTTGCTGACAGCTGCACTAGGGTCAGACAGGCTCCCTGTGTAGATTAAGACACCGGGGAGCCAGGGTGAGATATGTCTCAGGAAATGTACCTCAATCCAAAGAGGAGAAATGTGTTGTACTCCGAATTGTCCCATTATCCCAACTGTTACACGAGAAGATTGAATGACTGTTAGTTTTTAAGTGAACTGCCACAGCAGTAGCCACAGCAGTCATTATGGAATGGCACGTCACGTTGAACAACAAAGGTGCTGATTGGCTGACACTGCCATTCCAAAATGGGAATTCTTCATCATCTTGCTAGGTAGTTCTGGCTAGTATCAACAACGGCTTTCTACAAAATAGCAAAATTAGCGCAATTAGCTTGGAATCTAGACCATAAGCAATACGCACGGATATGCATCGCTAAACAACGCTACTGCCACCTTCTGGTTTGGAGTATTTTAAGGTCTTTGCGGTGTGAACACAAAAGAGATTGACTGCCGACACTCTGTTCAGAGGTGCTAAGTACTATCGGCAGGCAAACGTTTGACAAACCTATCGGGTGTGTCTGAGCTATTACAGCGACTCAGTGTCAAGATGGGGGTTGTCAGGCTCAAGGCCAGTGACAATTATTTATAAGTAGAGGCAAGGGGTGGACTTTAGATCCCCCCTCACACACACACACGCACACGCACGCACACACTCCCTTCCTATAAGGTCAATGTATACAAGAGGCGACTCTTTTGACAAACCCTGCCTTTCCAATTTTCCCTCCACTTCTCTGTGATTCATGCCTCCTATTCAGTGAGATGCAGTCAGGGTAGGCAGTGCTTACCCTGTGATAATCTAATAAAAAGCTGTTATTAAAAGCCAAATAAAAAACAACATTATATAAAGAATTGTCATTAATTTTGGTTGTCTAATGTTTTTTCGCAACGATTCGGGTGGTTTTTATGCTCAAAATCTCAAAATGTGCTAAAACTGCATAAAAACCTCAGGAAACCGCCAGGGTATTCATTGTTTATGGGCAGGACTCGATGCTTTGCCTAGGTTCATTCATTGCATTGAGCTGATTTCATATTTTGCGCATGCGTATTGCCTAAACATGTTGTGTGGGTAAGCCTGGGGTAAGGTCTGTACATTTCGGTGTGTCTACATAATTTGGCGCTCACTTCCCTTGAACTGAACGAAGCTATCTAGCTAGCAAAAACAATTTGACAAATGGACACTATACTGCACCTCAAACAATTTTCCAAGTTGGATTTCCAAGTAAAACTTGGTGCAATTCAGAGAGGTAGACCAACACCTGCACTTCCTGACCTACATCAGAGGAAAGGACAGAAAATCATCCAATCGAATGCACCACACTCGGCCTGACAGACTCAGCAACCCGGAGAAGATAGCTGATCAGAGATGAGAGGAATGTTTTACAACATTTTGGACAATTTCAGTGTTCAAATGTAAGCCAGGTTTGATCATTATGTCATCCTTGGTCCTACAACACTGTCACTGAGAGGTTCACACTGAAGGACAAACGAATGGACTTCATTTACAAGTAAAAGTAGGCCAAAATGCATTTTCCTTTGCAATTTGCGGGTTAGGCTACTGTTGAATGAACATGAGAATAGACAACATCCCTTTGAATGCATTTGATTTATCAAGTTAGAATTCTGTTTTGATGAGACACTTTTATGACGTTTTGAACTGCATTTTTTCAGTCATTTCGATTGTTGACATGGAAATGTAGTTAGAACCTTATTATATATGTGTGTGTATTAATATTTCACATAATAATATTATTATGTGTGTGTCT